TCCCCTAGTCTTTAATCTGTTAAAAAGTGCCTTAAAACCCATCTCTTTAGGAAAGCTTATGGCCTCCCAGAGTAACCTCTACCTTACACACCTGTCTCTTGCTCTCACCTATAGGGCAGCATTTTACTCTCTCCTTTAGCTCTGCTTCACTCCCACCTTATTTGATTGATATTCCTGTCCTTATGTGTTTTATACCCCACCTCCTATAGACTGTAAGCTCGTTTGAGCAGGATCCTCTTCAACCTATTGTTCCTGTAAGTTTTCTTGTAATTGTCCTATTTATAGTTACATCCCCCCTCTCATAATATTGTAAAGCGCTACGGAATCTGTTGGCGCTATATAAATGGCAATAATAATAATAATAATAATTGTAGCGAAGCTGCAATATTAAATTCCACGATCTCTGCTGGTACAGAAGGTAATCCAAAGTAAAGCGCTGAAAAGTAAGGCAATATCCCAAATCCCCCCAGTAACCGGACGAAACACAGTTCTGGGAGTCAACTGCGCTTTTATTCACAGGTCACAGTATTTATGCAAGTCCCCATGCAAGGGGTTTCTTGAATGACATTGCAGGGGTTATACAGTAGGGGACTACATGGGGGACTTAACAATCTGGACCTTTCTCCCATCAGGCACTGCTGGACGAGAGGGATACTCCCACTGGAATATACCGTTAAGTGGATTATCCCTCTGTGCAGCAGAACCGACATTTTACATTAAAATACATAACTTTGCCATCATTCACTTTATTTAAACGAATCACCAAGCATATTGCACTATTTGGTTCTCTATTTTTTTTTTTATCTCTTACATATGAGTGGATCCACACGGAGGAGAACAGCAAGGACAATTGTTCTGGACCAAGCACTTATATACTCTACGACTCCATAAAGATCATTTTAGATAAGACTTTTTCCTTTTTATATATTTTATTTGGACTATTTGTTATTTTTATCTCATACTTAGTTTTCTTTGGCTCAGCCCTTATCTTTTATTTTACTTTCTATTTTTACTCCTTAAGGGTGTTTGCTGCCCATCTGTTATTTAGCGCTTACTCTTTGTTTTGTTTTTATTCTAAAATAAATCAAAGGTCTTAGAAAAACTGACCTTGAGTTCTGATAAGGTTTTCAACATTGTTGACTTTGCATTGCTTCCTCAACACTTGAACTTACTAAACAAAGGCTTATCATCACTTCCTGCCCACAATATGAATTTTTTTTCAATGTCTTTTTATTGAAGCTTTTTTTTGTTTTTCTTGAACAGAAAGAAAAATAGATAACACGAGTTTACTTTTTGCATTGCGTGGATACGATACATTTTGACATCATCTCGTGGGAGTTACAGGTCTATACAACGTTTGCAGGATTCCCCGCATTTGCCAACAGTTGAGCATACAGTGGTGACATACATGTTATACATGCGAACAACAACCTTAGTGTTAATTAGCAAATTACTAGCACAATAAGGGAATTTTCCAATGATTCCAGACACCCATTCGGTGGGTCAGCTGTTATCCCTTCCCCCGTCAAGGTGGCTATAGTAGGAAATTTGCAACACTTAGACTGGTACTTCACTTGCAATAAAGCAATCAACAAGATCCCTAAACCCAGTGAGTGTCAAGGTAAACTGATAGTGGGAGAAAGAAAGGAGGAAAGGAAGAGTAGGTTTGATTAGGTTTCCCAGGGTTCTTGTAACTGGCAGCTTGAGAATGAGTTCCACAGTCTTGTATTTTTCATACTACTATTTATACATACAATAAATCAGTTGTGGTAAAATCCAAAGTAACATACATACATCATAACCTCTTAACATCTTAGCCCCATCCCCCCTTTTTTTTGCTTGTAGAGTTATTGGGAGGAGAACCAGGTACTATACACCAGTGACCAATCTTTCCAATATGTTTTGTGAGCACTTTCCTTGCCCCTTAGTTTGTAAGCCATTTTTTCCAAATCATATTTGGAGTCCAGACCCGTAAGCACTCTATCTACATGGGGGGGGTGTTCGCTTTTCCTGTGTCTGGCTACAGTTATTTTTGCCGCCCTGGAGTATATGAATGTATTCGGTGTGGATCTGCGTGGAGAGTTGGTATTATATGTAGGAGATATCACTCAGGCCAAATGGAATTGGTCTATCTGCTAATTTCCTTATCATGGCCTGCACTTGTTGCCAGTGCACCTTTGATTTTGGACAATCCCAGAATATATGAGAGAAAGATCCAACCTTTTTGCAACAGCGCCAACATATATCTGATGTGAAGGCGTAGAAGGTTACCAGTTTCGATGGTACAAGGTACCATCTCATCATAATCTTGCAATACATTTCCCAGTGAAAGTAGCTGCTGCTAGAGGCTTTGGTCATTTGCAAAGCCCGCAGCCAGTCTTTTTGGTTAACATCCATCTCCAACTCCCTCTCCCACGGCAACATATATGGTAGTTTTTCAGGGATACACAAGTCATTAAGTGCGTTATAGCACACAGAGAACGTAATATGAACATCTTTAACTGTGTCAAAGAAGACAATTTTGAAAAGGGCCAGGACTCTACTACCCAAATGAAAAAAATAAATGCAAAATAACTATATAGATATATCCCTAATAAAAATATACATGCTTTATTTTCGGTATTTATTTTCAATTAAGGATTTATTTAAAAACAGCTGGTCAAAGCTCTTATCTGCAACCTTTGTAAACCCCTTTTTCTGTATGTTTTGGCTATCTAATCACAGACTTCTGAATGTAGCTCATTGAGAAGTCTTTGAAAAACCAGGTATACAGATTCAATTGTCTGATTGAAAGCCAGGTAGGTTGTAAACAAGGTTACTTTATAAAAGTGGACATCTTTAGTGACATGAGCACTTATTTTAGTAAAAATAAAGAACACACTCTTTACACATGAAATGGAAAAATCAATTAAAGTATTGATTATTTCTTTGTGTATCTGCCCCTGGCCAAATCAATGAAACAATGCGTGCACGCTCCCTGAAGTAATTCACACCAGACACAGGTTCCAGGTTGTTGAATAACTTGAGGAATGTTTATTCAGAGGGGACGGCAAGTCCCTTTTAAAGCAAAATTACATCATAAGCATTGTCAGAGATAACATGGAATAATACATCAATAATTGGTTAGGTGTTAAGTGGTTGCTTCAATGCTCTGCCTACTGTAGGTGATGTCACCGGGGCCATGAGGGTCTCCCACGGTTTCCCGGCGCCATCTTGGTGCACGAGGTAGTTAGTCGATGTTAGGAAGGAGGAAGGGAAAGGGGGGGGGGGGAAAGGAGCTAGAAGCTTCTAGCAGCCATCTTAATTATAACGTGTGTGCTTAGCTATATATATATATATCGTGAAATGAGTAAATAGACATTTTTTCACTAACTAGGAAATATGTGTAGACCTTATTTCCACAACAGTCCCCCCTAAAATGGCTATTTACCATAACAACTGCTACTGTCCCTAATATGTCCCTAGTTGCCTGCAACCTATCTGCCTTAACTAGCATTGAACACTTCACTCCGCGGGTAACCCGCAGTGGCTAGTCCACTACATCTCCACAGGTGAGACTCGCCAGTTAAGACAGACGCTTTCCCTATACTGTCCCTACAGGAAAGCAGTTGTTTGTTTGAACTGATGTGATTGAAGGGGTGTATGTGGAGTATCATCTTCGAGGTCTGTGATGTCTTGGTGTATGAAAGTAGGGGTCACGTCATCTATAGTCTTGTCTACCGCTTTCTGTAGATACTTCTGTATGCAGGGGAATATGCAACAAGTCAGAAATAAGAAAATGACGATCATTATGAGAACAGCTGTCCCCACATGGAAGAGGGTCCTTTGCCAACCATTCATCCATCCAAACCATCTGTCCCAAGTGTCGATGACTCCTGAATTTTTCTTTAGCTCGTCTGCAAGACTATCTAGCTTCTCTATGGCCATAGTCACCTTACCATTGGGCCCAGTGTTGTCTGGAATGTATGTGCAGCATGTCATGGTCTCAGGGAGGATTTTACATACACCCCTTTTCTCAGCTAAAATCATATCTAGGGCCATTCTGTTCTGAAATGTCATTTGGGTAGTGGCTTGTAATTGCTCTGCCAGGCCCTGTAGGGCATCCCTAGTGTAGTTGACAAAACGCTGTTGATTATAGTAAATATAGTTAATCCAATTGACATTTTTGTTAGCAGTTATCATTGGAATTAGGGACTCAAATCCTGCAGCCACTTCATCTCTTGCTTTGAATTCGTTAGGCACCCCCCTTGGCACACCTATGGCATCAATATACACATGGGGGTCGAAACTCCCTCGAATAGGAGTCTCTCGTTTGGTTCTAGAGTGTACATGTGTGAGGTTTAACGTGTTATGGTCACCATCTGGAATGATATGGATAGGCATTATGACTTTAGTTAGGGCACACTCCCCCCACCATTGCCCAATTAATTGGGACCTCAATTGTTTATCCCCACATAACCAATAGATATCACCGATTGTCTTTGTGTGGTTCATTAGCAGTGATACGGGTGGATTATGGTAAGTTGAGCAATATCCTGATGGGAATTTGCCCAGATACAAACCGGTGTTTTTAGATATTGTATAACATGTGTAATTACCTGGGTAGATGGTGACTCCATCAGGTGGTTTTACATGTCCGTGAGTGATCGGGTAAATTCTCTTCCACGATTCACATGTCGAGGAGTTGGTGACGGACTGTGTGTAAAGGCTCAGAACACATGATTCTACTTCAGGAGGCAAATTCAGAGGAACTGTGCCCAGATGGGGCCTGGCTCCTCCACACACGTAACAATTGGTCTTATTGTGTGAGTTGGCATTATACCTCATCCATTCTAGCCACAAATTAGTGTCTGAAAAACCAGTTTCCACTGCCATAGTGTCTTCAAAGGTGGGGTTGGCTATAGCTACCATGTCATGTAGGGTCTTAATATGTGGTTTTAATGGGTTAACGATCATGTGAGTGGTCCCTACCCAGTCTGGGGAGGTGAGCATGTCTTGTAGGTAGAATGTCCCCAGTGCATTGTGTGAGCCACCTCCCTTCCAGTACATCCCCATCACATATTCCCCTGCGTCCCTTGGACTAGGGTGTTCTATATTCAAGGTAAGTTTAATGGGAGTTGACCCTGTGGGTTTACTAAGAGTCATTCTAGAAAGTAGGGGCTTCCCGTCTTTGTCAAGTCTGTCTAGTGCAACCTGAGGTCTGTAGCCCCATGGTCTACCTGTATTCCACCCGGCAGCTTTCCATGAACTACAGTGGTGTCCCCAAGCTCCTCCAGTCACACAAATGTATGGGTCCTTTTTGTTAGGTATGTCCTTGTATATGGCTGCATGTTGTGTCTGTGGGAACGTACAGGTAACTATGTCACAGTAATCAAAGGTGTATGTAGCTACATCAGTATCAGAAGAATTGTACCAGAAAGTGTAAACATGATTATCTTTGGTTATGGCCACTTGTTGGGCCCAGGCAAAATGCAACAATATAAGAAAACACGAGACACATAATAAATTCATGTTTCAACAAGATCAGCTTCTTCTGGAGCAGGCACTTTTTTGCAATGTGACGCGTGTATCCAGGAACTTTTTCCAGCTAGTTTAACTGACTTTGCTGTAATCAGGAGCACTTGATAAGGACCATCAAATCTCGGTTCTATGGTGTGTTTCCTGAGGAACTTCTTAACCATAACCCAATCACCCGGAAGAAGCTTGTGTGTACCTGTATTCGACTCAGGATCTGGAATAGAAGAAAACACTTGGGCATGTATCTTGGTCAAGGCATGTGAAAGGGCAGTCACATAGTCTACCATAGCGTCTGACTGAATCTGAAGCTGTTGGGGAAAGTAGCAACCTAACCTGGGTGCTGTACCAAACAAAATCTCATAAGGTGACAAACTGTATTTTCCTCTGGGAGTGTACCTTACACTGAATAACGCTAGTGGGAGACTCTCAGGCCAGGGCATGTTAGTTTCTTGTGACATTTTAAGCATTCTGGCTTTCAAAGTGCCATTCATGCGCTCTA